GTGAGAAGAAAAACCATATAAAAACTCATGTTTAAGAAAAATTGCTAAACTTTTTTAAGAAAAAAGTTTCATTCAAAAAGAAGATTTCAACTGAAATATGTCGATGCATAAATAATTTATATTCAACACAATAGAGAATAAACATATATCTAAAAATCAAAAACTTAATTAGTTTTTTTTCCAGCAATCATCGCCTCTGCTCTTCTTTTTCTCAAAGAGAAAATGAGATTGTAACTCGTGAAGAAGAACAACATAAACTGTTTAATATTACTATTTTGATTGGGATCCACCAAACTATTGTTACCACTTCAGAAACTTTTTTCTTATTTTCAATACCATATAAATTTTTTTAAATGGGGCCTTTCATAAATTGGGGGCCCATTCAAATGTAAAAACTGCCTTCTGATCCGGCTCTGGTTGTATATAAAAATCGGACATAGGTTTGATCTCTTTTTTTGTGTCCCAAAACATTTAATTAGAAAATTCCCCCATTATTAATCCAATTTGAGGGAGAGTTGCTTACAAAGTAAAAATCAAAAATTCTATAACGTGCAGAATGGACAAAAAATCCGCATTAAGACTGAAAGAGCGAGGAAATAAAGATAACGTAAAAGGAAATTCGAGCACATAATTCCTTGAACTTGGCAGAAAGAATAGAAATCTAATAAATTTGACCATATCCACCAGATTCGAGTAATCCGTCTCAAAGATGTGGCACTCCATTTCTCTTTCTAGCAAAGATGACATTTTCCAAATTAGAGTTTCCATTTCTAAATGCAACGGAGACATCCGGTACCTTAATCCTTGCACGCCAAGAAGCTTGATTTGGTCGCCTTGTAACCAGACCCATCCTAAGTCTGAGGTCAAATCTGGCTCCTTCTAGGAGCTATCAACCTGACAATGAGGATGCGATGTATGAATCGTATTGATGAGGACGTTGCTTGGAATAGTTTTTCCCCCAATGGACCTTAATTGTGCCTCCGTCCACGCCATAAATTCACTCTCCGCCAATGAAAAAGTATGCATTGGATTAGGATCCACTCTTTGAAAACATCTTTTGTTCCGTGATTTCCATATATACCACATTATCCAAAGGAATAACTTTCATTTCCCATTTAGGGTATCTTCCTTTTTTAATCTTCCA